CACATGGTGGTTCACAACCATCTGTAATGGAACCAGATGCCCTTTTCTGGTGTGTCTGAAAACAGTCAGTGTACTCACATACATAAAATAAATCTTTTTTTTAAAAAAGGGGGGTGGGTAGTGGTGGCACATGTCTTTAATCACAGCACTCAGGAGTCAGAGGCAAACTGTGAGTTTGAGGCCAGTGTGGTCTACAGAGTTATAGGACAGCAAGGGCTTCACTAAGAAACCAGTGAGTGCAGTGTGGTGGAAACCGGGAAACCAGTGAGTGCAGTGTGGTGGAAACCGGGAAACCAGTGAGTGCAGTGTGGTGGAAACCGGGAAACCAGTGAGTGCAGTGTGGTGGAAACTGGGAAACCAGTGAGTGCAGTGTGGTGGAAGAAAGAAGCCCAGAGCTCAGCCTTGTGCCAGCCCCTCCCCCACGGGCTCCAGGTTTCAGACTGTGGGTACATTGCTGCGTCTCCTCCATAGGATCCCCTCTCTAGACTGGGTCATGGGTGTGCGCTTCTCAGAGTTTTCATGTCTAATCCGGGCTCTGTCTTGTTCAGAAAACCTGCTTCTTCCCAAGGAAGACTGGCCCACCTTCGAGAATCAGCACACCTATCCCTGCCTGGTTTCCAGGCCCGGAAAGGTGATAATGTTTGCTTTGGTTGTTCGGTGTGAGATGGGATCTTGGTTTGTATTCCGGGATGGCTTCTTACTCACAAATCTCTGCCTGGGTCTCCCAAATGCTGGGATTATAGGCATGTACCTGGCTGGTGACATTTCTTTTGTTTTTGTTTTGTGTTTTGAGAAAGGATCTTCCCATGTAACCCCTGGAATGGATTAACCATTCCTGAGCCACTGCTCCTGACTCCTGACTCAGTTCAGAACTGAGAATAAGAGTTTGGCAATCCTGAAAACCTGGTGTGTCACTCGGGTTTTGGGAGGCAGAGAGGGGTGGATCTCTCTGAGTCTGAGGCTGTCCTGCTTGCTATATAATGAGTTCCAGGACTACTAGAACTACATACACAAGGAGACGCTATCCTAAAAAACTAAACAGCAACAAGAAAAAACAAAAAGAAAAAAAACAAAACAAAAACTGGGCAGTGGTGGCGCACACCTGTAATCCCAGCACTTGGGAGGCAGAGGCAGGCGGATTTCTGAGTTTGAGGCCAGCCTGGTCTACAGAGTGAGTTCCAGGACAGCCAGGGCTGCACAGAGAAACCCTGTCTTGAAAAACCAAAAAAAAAAATCCAAAAATGGATAAACAAATAAAGCTATGCAATGAAAGACATGAAGCCCCCCCCCCCCCTTTGGCTGTACCTCTATTAACAGTCATAAAGTAAGCTCCAGAAATTATATTTTTATTTGTTTTTCACATCAGGGTTTCTCTGAGTAACATCCATGGCTGTACTGGAACTCACTGTAGACCAGATCCTCCTGCCTCTGTCTCCTCAGGGCTGGGATTCAAGGCCTATGCACCACTACACCCAGAAATTACATTTCTTTGACAGACAGCACACAGTGTCTTTGTGGGGTTAGGGCAATGCCTGGGTGAGGAGGAAGTTCTCACCAGGCTGGCAGCAACTCCTTGATCTTCTCCATCAGTCCTAGGGAAGGGTCCAGCTGGAGGAGGCACGCAAGCTCGATTGTACTGAAGAGGAAAAGCCAGCTGAGGGGGGTTGCAGGGACCACACCAGTGAGAACGTCATTCTGTGATGAGAAAAGGGCAGTTTCAGTCACGTTCCCTCTGAAGACATGTTCTGCATCACTCTCAGCAGCTTATAGGGTCTTGGATGTGGGCAGAGCTCAGGGTCCCTTTTACTGAATATATTTAGTAAGGAGTTGGGGGCGTGGCCTACTCCCCAATAGGTGCTGAGGCTGGGAGAGAGTCTCTTCCTAGAATCCACTATGAGGTGTTAGTGGAGGCGTGGCTTGGTGGCAGTGAAGCCTCATGGAATCTACCAGTAATGGGGTGAGAGTCTCCTTCAAACTGTCCTAGATTGTTTAAATCCCCCGGTTCTGAACCTTGGCACCAAAGAGTAAGTCAGTCAGTAAGTAAACAATAAATAAACCTAAGATAAGTAAGTCAGGAAGTAAACAAATAGATAAATAAATCCAAGATACTAGAAGTTGTTGGGGGAGGAGCTGCATGGAGAGGGCAGCAGGGCTGAGTGAGTCAGGATGCCAGGCCAGTCGGCGGGACAGAGATCCCAGAGGAAGCCATAGTGAGCAGTGGCCTGGGACTGAACATCCAGATCTTCAGAAGTAGGTTTTAGGAACCCCAGAAGCAGGTACCTGGAGCCCCAGAAGTAAGCCAGCCAATAGCTCTCACCCAGACACGCCAGAGATGCCTTTTCCAGGAGCGTAGGGCAGAGAGGTAAATCTCCTGCCACACTGGGGAGCTGAGCTCTACTTCTGCCCCGTCGGAACTCAGTGACGACAGCAAGCTCGAGGCTTGGCGTGCCTCAGCCATGTTCCCTGGGCTCCCTAGGAGAAAGTCGGAGAGTCATTCTCCGGGACCTTAGTGCCTCCTCTCTCAGAACCAGGACTCCAGAACTTGGCCCTTTTCCCTCAGACCCACCGGTGTAGACTTTGCTTCTACTCTCAGGTGTGTGTGGGGTGGGGAATTTCAGGCCCAGCGGAGTCCAGCCCCCAGCCCTCTCTCTCAGACCCTTTCCCTTTCTCCCCACAGCAGGACCACAGGACTCAGCATACTCGGCTCTAAGAACCTGAGGGGGTGCTACAGCTCAGTTGGAGAGGGCTTTGGGACAGGACTTCATTTAATTGGGGATCTCTGGAAGTACAAGTTGCTCCCTGGAGAGCAACCTTGAGACCTGTGCTACTGAGAATTCAGTGCTCAGTATTCAGGGTGGGGGAGGGAAACTGATGCAGGATCAGCTATTCAAATAAAACACACTAGTTTTTCGTTCTTTTTTTTTTTTTTAACGCACTAGTTTTTAGACCCATAGGGAAATGAACATTTGCTGAAGGTAGCACTGTTCATTTCCAATTGCAAGGCAGACACATATGGGTTCCCTTCTACCATGGGGTCTGGAGAGGGATGAAAGAGGAAGCACCCTACTGCGCATGCCCGGCATCGAGGGATGCTGGAGACAGACGGAGGCATGTCCAGGACAAGTAATGGAGAAGACCCACTCGCCTGCCCCAACACAAGGCCCATAGCCCCTCCTGTACCTGGTACTAGTACTTACACTGGTCAGAGGTCAGCAGCTGCGGTTCCTGGGGTCAGTTCCATATACACCTCCTTCCCCCAGTTTTGAGTCCAGTACCCGGTTTCCCTTGTACATACATCCAGACCCCGTGTAATGAGTCCACGAACTGATCAACCGTCTTTGGCTGTTATCCTGAAACCCAGAGCCAACCTCGCGGGCGCCTCCTCCCTCCCTGAGCAGGGTGTTCAGATCCTAGGCTTTATCTCCACCTCCTCTGATCCCTCCGCGCGTTCTGTCCCTGCCTCTTTCCAATCCCTCCGCATTCTCTCCCCGCCCCCACCGGAGTCCTAGCGTCCGACCCTCTTACCCCAAGCCTGTCTCCCCCTCACCCTTTCTTTTTTCAGTTTGTTCAAGAAACAGCCTTGGCCTGCCTTCCTGCCCTCTTTTAGGTATAACGTCATGTCATGCATGTCGCCATGTATCTGCTGGAGCACATCGTAGATGCTTCTCAGGCTGATCCATCCGAACCAGGCATACAGACTCCACATGATACAGGCGCCACTGGGGACTAGATTCAAGCTAGACAACCAGAGGGACGGTGTAAGATGGGCACACACACACACACAAACATGGCAGTCTGCTTTATTCCACTCTGGGGTTTCATATTTTGTTCACGATGGGTCCACGCCAGGACAGAGACCAGCCCATTATTACCCAGCAAGTGCAATATCCAGGTCTCCACTGCAGGCAGGGATTTGTGAAGGTCCTAGGGCTCATGCTTCCCTAGCACTAGGAGATGAGGGTAGACCCAGGAGCTCTAGTGCTTGGAATAGCAGGACCCACAAAGCTAGCTAGCTAGTGTGGCTGAAGAACCGATGCACAGGCCAGGGAGCCAGGGCAAGCAGGTTTCTTGTCCAAGGATATCCTAGAGCTCAGGTCTGCTCAGTGAGCTTCTGGCTTTAGGGTTAGCGACCCCCCCTTGGCCATGCCACATAGGATCCAAACCCCCACCTGTCCCCAGGCCATGGTGACCCAGCTTCCATAAACACTGAGGGACCAAGATAGGGGTCTCGCCCTTATTCCAGAGGACAGAAGGGTGGAGGGGCCTGGGGTCACTAGAATGGAACTAGCTTACTTAGAAACAGCACAGGACAAGAGCACTGCAGGTTCTGTGTTCCAAGTCTCAGCAACCATGATTGGCTTAATATTGGGATCTGATGCCCTCTGCTGGTGTGCAGGCATACATGTAGACAGAGCATTCATATATAAAGAAATCTTAAAAATATTTAGCTGAGCAGTGGTGGTACATGCCTTTAACTCCATCACTTGGGAGGCAGAGGCAGAGGCAGGTGGACCTTTGTTGGAGGCCAGCCTAGAAAATAAAGCAAGTTCCAGGACAGCAAGGGCTACAGAGAAACCCTGTCCCGTAAAAACAAAAACACCCAAACAAATACAAACGGAATAGGACCACAGTGCAGACCATTTGGTGTAGCACTCAGGAGGCAGAGGCAGGTAGACCATAAAGCGAGTTCCAGGACAGCCAAGGCTACGCAAAGAAACTCTGTCTTGAAGACCCTCTTAACCCCCCAGCAAACAGAAACAGCACAGAAGAGCAAGACACGGTAGGTCGACTCTGGGGTGGAGGGCAGAGGTGGCTGACTCCCACTGAGGACTGTCCTCAACCCCTGCTCCAAGGAAGAATCTCAGGAAGGTCAGGGAGTCCAGAGACATGGTGGAGCCAGGAATCCTTGCCTAGCTTGAGGGACACATCTCTAGACCTAAAATGGACGGTCCTCAGGGAGTGACAGGGAACTGAACTGCTCCAGCTCCCAGGGCAAGAAGTGGCATGGTCAGCTGAGGATTTATTGGCATAAACGCAACCATATAAAAACATAAGTTATGAAAAACACAGTCACGATGTACCCTCCCATCCCCCAAGCCCAGCCCCCCTGAGCCCCCTTCTGCAAGAGGGCCAGCCTGGCACCGCCTCAGCGCATCCGGTAGTCGGTGGAACAAGAGAGCTCACACAGCTGACCCTTGAAGTCCAGGTCGATGGTAAAGTCCAAGTCACGCTGAAGGGAAAAGGTAGGAGACAGGGCTCAGATGTGCCATCAGGGCAAGCGTCAGGTAAGTGTGCTGGCAATTTCGGGTAGCACACTGCATACCCTACACCCTGACTCAATGACAGTACTACAGGCTATATGTACCCAACTGTGTTCCCCAGTCACAGTCTAAGTTTCTTCCATCAAGGGAAACAGCACCTAACATCAGCAATGCTGGAGTCCCAGCACTGTTTCCAGTCCCCCTGCAAGCATCGTTAAGCCCCCTCCACCCATGGATCAAGGCTGGGCCACTGTCAGGTGTTCCTAACATCACACTGAGCCCTGGCACTTGCCAGTTTAACCTGTAGAGGAGTCAGGTGATTTCAGTATCCACAGGAAGGGTACTGAACATGGGTTATCACTGAACCCAGCAGACAATCAGGGGCTTCCTAAAGTATCCCTTACGCTACCCAAGCTGGCACTGTTCAATTCTATCTAGAACCTGACTTTTCTCCACACCCTCCACATCATGTTTACTCTCCCTCAGGCCTCACATTGTTTTTGGCGTTGGGCCTCATTCCAATGGTGCCAAAGATTTCCTCGCCAGTCTTCACTGTTAGATAGTCCTCCATGTAGAACACAGTCTGCTTCCAGTGTGTATATGGGGACTCAGGACCTGAAAGGTGGGCACGGTCAGTTCCAGACTTTGCCTAGGTGTTGCCATACTAAACCTGCCAGGGCCCCACAAGGGCTGTCCCTGCATCTTGCCTGTGTTTGCAGAGCTACTCCAGGATCAGATTCAGTCACTCAATGACTGACAGCACAGCCAGAATATCACAGGCACCTGACCACTGGGCTACGCTCCACCCCTCACCGAGTGACTCTAGCTACGACTCCATTTTGACTCTCCTTTTGACAGGGTTATCACTAACTTTCTTCAACTTTAGAGCTTTCTGTCCCATTCCCAGGTGGCTCTAGACAGTCCTAACCCCAGGCATGTGCTCTGCTGCTTGTCACAGACCCCTCACTGATGCTCTTGCCCCTGGCCCAGCCCCACATGGCCCTCACTGGTTGAGAAGCCGGTCCTCTTGTGGCATCGGGTAAATTCTATGTTGAAGTAGGCCACCAGTGCATGCACGTAGTCATTCCTCTTCACTTGCAGGCAGAAGGGGGAGGTGAAGGTCAGGTCCTCCACCTTGACTGTATAGATGTCCACCTCCTGCCAAACGGGTAGACCCAGTCAGCGCTCAGAGCCCACGCTGCATATGAGAACTGCTGCCTATTAGCACCCCCCCATCCCCATTTTCTGAAACAGGGTCTTCTGTATCCTGGGCTGGCCCTCATAACATTTTCTTTCTTTTTAAAAAATACTTTTTATGTACGTGAGTACACTGTCACTGTCTTCAGACACACCAGAAGAGGGCATCAGATTCCATTACAGATGGTTGTGAGCCACCATGTACTTGCTAGGAATTGAACTCAGTACCTCTGAAAGAACAGCCAGTGCTCCTAACTGCTGAGCCATCTCTCCAGGCCCCAATCTTTCTTTCTTTCTTTCTTTCTTTTTTTTTTTGGTGGTGGGGGGAGGAGGTTGAGACAGGGTTTCTCTGTGTAGCTCTGGCTGCCCTGGAACTCACTCTGTAGACCAGGCTGGCCTCAAACTCAGAAATCCACCTGCCTCTGCCTCCCAAGTACTGGGATTAAAGGCATATGCCACCACTGCCTGGCTCCCCAATTTTTTTTCTTATTATTTATGGTGCTGGAGAGATAGATCACTGGTTATTCTTCCAGAGGTTCTGGATTCAAATCCCAGCATATACATGGTAGCTTATAATTGTCTCTAACTCCAGTTCCAGACCTATTGACGGCTAACCACCACAGGCTACAGGCACACACTTGGTGCTGGTACAACACCTGTACACATTAAAATATATAATTATGTATGAATGTATGAGTTTATTGAAATCATGTCAATGAAGATGCCCGCTAAGGTTAGAGGGCATTGGATGCCTGGAATTGGGAGTTACAGGACTGTGAGCAACTGCTGATATCCCCTCAGAGAGTGGCAAGTACTCTTAGCCACTGAGTCATCCATCCCTCCAGTCCCAACTCTTGATCCTCAGACCACAGGCAGGCAACAAATGAAAGGAGAAGAACCAGAATAACTCACCAGAACCCCAGGTGGACCCCCCCCACCCCCACTCCAGTGCACTCCTCCTGCTTCATTTTGCTCTCCTGGAATTCAGCACCAGGCATGACCCTCAAAACTCTGATGTGTGGGCCCAATTGCTTTCTTTATGCCTCTAGTGGACAGGTCAGGGACCTGGAACTGCTGTTGAGTTACCTTTATGAGGCAGGCATTGGTGACCAGCTGCTTTGGGTCCACCACATCCACCAGGGGCTCCTTGATGGCCACGTCTTTAATGCAGGACATATCAAAGCCATACACGTTCTCCCACCCTGGGTACAGACAGGGTCAGATGAGCAGTGGAACCCAGGCCCTGTCCTCGCCACCCATCCTGCCTTCACTACCCAGCCCCCGCTCACAGTGGATCTTGTAGTCTTTATACTGTCGATCCTCAATGGCTGTCACATACAGGGTGGCACGGTCTGGGAAGATGAGGCCATCGGGTGCCTGAGGGAGGAGTTGGGTTAGAGCAAGAGCCTAACTGAGCAGACCCAACTGTTCAGCGCACCATCACTTTCCAGAGACCCCCTAGTCATCTCGGCCTCACCCTCATCCTTGAGTCTGGTCCCTACTCCACAGCCACAGGGCACCCAGAGCCCAGGCTGTCCCACAGTTCCTAGGAGCCTGGAAAAACCTGAGAAGGAAAGACTCTCCGCCCCGACCCCCCCCCCAACCCCCTGCTCTGCTACACAGCATACGGTCTCCTGGCGTAAGGACTCTGCACTAGCCCTCTTGAAGTCGGCTCCTCTGCCATTCCTTTGGTCCCCTCTCCCTGGGAAGGCCTCATCCACAGAAACACCTGGTGGCACCCTATTTGCTGTTCTAACATCTTAGGCTGCAGTGCCCACTGCATCCCTAACCCATATGCCTCACCAGCCACTTGTCGCGAGCGTGCAGCACAGTGTTGAGCATGGACTCATAGAAGAGACAGTAGCCCATCCACTCGCTGATGATGATGTCCACCTTCTCCACAGGCAGCTCCACCTCCTCCACCTTGCCTTTGATGATGGTCACCACTGCAGCCACAGGAATGGCATGCCGGTCAGGGTGAGGGCTGGTCCAGATGGCTCCAGACACCCACTCTGGTCAAAGGGCTGTCTCCCCCTTTCAAACTGTCTCACTATGTAGTCCTGGCTGTCCTGAAACTTGCTATACAGACCAGGCTGGCCACCCTGGTTACTTACTGGGTTCCAGGACAGCCAGGGCTACACAGTGAGGGCTTCTCTTGAGAGGAAAAAATAAAAAGTTTAACTGCATGGAAAACTAGTCTGGTGTGAAATGACATCTAAGGCAGACTAGAGGTCTTCAATGTGTACATGTAAGTACATGACCAAGGCCTTCTGGGGAACCAAGTGTCTGACCTTCAGGTGGGAGCTGCAGAGCTGCAGGCTCCAAGCCCCACCTGCACACCCGGCCACACAGTGCGGAGGAAGCAGTGGGCACACTGGCCGCAATTGTGGGATTCTCAGGAAGGCAATGTCAATCATGATCAGAGTGAGGGCTGCTGGGGAGAATTCTTGACAGGCCCTGGATGTGACAAATGAGGGATGGGAAACCCTTGCACACGGGAAGTTATAATCCTGAGCATAGTCACCAAAAATGCCCTAAAGCACGAGGCCCAACACCCCGCCATCCAGCCTCTCAGCGTTCCCAAACCGAGGAGCCACCAGCTGTTCACTGTGGTCTCTTAACTCTTCACTGAAGCCTCCAAGAAGCTGTCCTCCACAGACCTCCCCCTCCCACTCACCATGGTCTAACTTGTTGGCTTTGACAATCTTCACAGCATAATCGGAGATACTGGAACACTCAATCTAAGGCAGGAAGGAAGGGGGGTGAGACTGAGTCCAGTCCATGCCCTTTCCGCTGTCTCTAGCCCCTAAGCAGCCCGCCCACCTCCATGAGACTTACTCCAATAACCTTGCGAGCCCCTGCCTTGGCAGCGAACATGCAGAGGATGCCGGTGCCGGAGCCCACATCCAGGACCACCTTGTCTTTGAAGAGATGCCGATTGTGAAACATGGAGTTGCGGTATGTGAGGGTCCGCACCTCATCCTTCAGCATCTCCTAGGCAAGTGACCACAGACAAGAGGATCAGAGTGAGGGACACACGAGGCCCGGATGCCCCTCACACTGAGCATGAGCAAGGCTCAGAGAGCCCCTTTCCCTTCTGGGGGATTCTTTTGTAGTGAACACCTACACCAGGTTTTATCAGCGCCACCCTTGCAAGAACCAGGGATGCAGGGGGCTGAAGCAGGAGGACCCTGGGTACAAGGTCAGTCTTTAGATCACCAAAAGGCATCATGGTATTGGCCTGGCATCTCAAGCTGCTTGGGAAACTTAGGCAAGAGAAGCATAAGTTTAAGGCAGGCTCACACAAACTAAAATGAAGAGGGAGCAGACAGCCAAGTAGCAAGTAGGCTGTGTAGCACATGCAAGCAAGAGGCCGATCAACCCTTGGTGTCACCTCTCAGGTTCCAGCCAGCTTGTTTTCTGACATGGTGTCTAAGACCTGGATAGCTGGGCAATTAATTAGGTTAGGCTGGTCAGCCCAGTGATCGGCCTGCCTCTGCCTCCTCAGAGCTGAGCTTACACAAGCACACACTACCATGCTCCGTGTTCTCAAAGTTACCGTGCATGCAGGAGCGTGGGGGTCAGAGGACACCTTCTCCATCTACTCCGAGTTTCAGGGAGCTCTTGTGTGGCAAGCACTACTTTCTGCTTGTGTGGCAAGTACCTTTACCCACTGAGCAATCTTGCCAGTCCCAGTATGGCTTTTGAAGTGGGTCTTGGGGACTGAACCCTGCAACCCATGCTTGCACGGCAAGCTCTTTAATAAATGAGGTAAGTCTCTAGGACCAGCTTTTGGGGTCCCAAAAGCTCAATTTTGTTTTATGCCTATTTTCCAGGTTTCCCTTTATGATCCTGGGGATTGAGGCCATGGTCCAGCTAGGCAACTGCTCTGCTACTTTGCCACAGTCCCAGTCCCAGGTACAGTTTGTTGTTGTTGTGTTTTTTAAAGCCCCATGGAAAAGACGAGGATTCCTTAGAATGTCATTTCAGTTACACTGAGCCCTGTCTCCTTCCTTTATCAAAAGGGTTGTAGTGTAGCATGATCAGGGGATACAGTCCCACCACCAGTCACTAGAGGGCGCCAGAGACTGGCAAGGCCTAAAGTCTGTGGCACATTGGGGCAGCAAGCACTCTCAGTGGCCTCTAGAGAGCTGGAGACTTCAGTCTCCAAAACAATGGACCAGGGGCAGAAAAGGAGCAGTGCACATGCTGAGACACTCAGCCCTGTCCAGTCTTGCAGCTCTTCAGTGCGTACTGGCTTTAGGGCGGTCTCTCCTCACCTCATGGATGCCAAAGTGGGCATAGGAGTCAAAGTAGTAGTCTTTGGATGTCATGTCCTCAGCATTGGGCTTTTCACTACTTTCTGCTTGGCCACAGGAAACCTGGAAGATGGGGAGTAGCACAAGGGTCAAAGGTGGGCTCCCCAGAGAGTCTCATCAACCTGCAAAAAGCCCCTTGTCACACCAGGACAACCCTACAGCCCCCTCCAGCATCTTTTTCCCCAGGTAACGTTTCCACTTCCAGGACCCACCCAGAGCACCATCCAGGGAGCAGCCGCCTCGCCTACCATCTCTCCAGGCTCTATGCCCCGTCTCTAGCTCAGCCCACAGCTGGGGAGGGAGGGAGAGAGGGCAGAGCCAGGGCAGACACATGGAAGGACAGGGGAGAGGGCTGGAGATGGAGTTAAGGAAGCAGCCATGGTTCTGGGGGAGCCAGCTGGGGCCAAGAAGGGGACTGTCCTAAGTGTTTAGGGAGCACAGCAGAGGAGACTGGCGGGAAGCAAGAGGATGGTTAGACCTCTTGGGGAGCCAGATGTATAGCAAGTAAGCTTATGTGGAAGTGGGCTGGGTGGGGTGGGGTCTCACAAAAGGATATTTACTTCTTCAAGAGGCGGCTGGAGGCTCATCCCATTAGCCAAGGTGGCTACAAAATTCTAGGAGAGAGTAACAGGGAAAAAGGATTAGCTACGGGGTGACTGGGGAAGGCCTCTGGAGCAGTGAGTGGTTTGTAGGTTGGCTTTTCCTGGGCAAGGGAGTGCGTGTGTAAGCAGGGACAAGCAATGAGGCTGTGCTTGGGTAGAGAAGGATAGGAAGGAGGAGGGAAGGGAAGGTCTCCTGTCCCAGCTGTTGGCTGAAGAGATGGTGGCCTGCTCCATGTCGTCCTTCTCTGGTCAGATGACTGGCCACATCCACCTACCCCATCTAGGCCACAAGACCCAATACGTGCCAGGGCACATGGGCACTGCCAGCTGTCGCTCTTCACTACCTAACCCCCCCCCCCCACTAGATTAAGTGACATTTCCTGACACACATGCCAGGCTGAAGGGCCATGAATAAACTGGAAGGAGGGGTTGAAAGGGAATGGGTGCTGTCTCCTGTCCTATGAGGATTCCATTAGAGAGGTGAAGCACACCACCCCCAACTCCACCTGGATGAGGAAAACACACACACAGGCAACCTCTGTTTTACCTGCCTTTCTGAGGAGGTATTACACACGCCTTGGAAAACTGGGAGCAGCCCCTGTCTGTCACAGCTCACCTGGAGCCCCACACCCAATGAGCCTTTCTCTTTTCTCTGTCCACAAGTCCCAGGGTCACTGTAGTGACCCTGTAGGCTAACTGATCCCTATTTATGGCAGATGTCCCAGCAACTGACCTTCCTTTGCAGACAACCTGAAGAGGTGTGGGCCCCATCAGAGTAAATCCCACCCACGACAGCCGCCCAAGCTTCCAGAGAAGCCATGACCTAACCAAGCTCTCCGTTCCCCACAGCCAGTGAGGTGAGTTTCCCACGTGGGCCTCTCTTTTTCAATAGTACAGACCCATACCAGCAGGTTGACAACTGACTGAAAAGTGCTTGAAACCTGAGGCTAGGACCTGCCTTACAAGCCTGATGGTGAGGGCATCACAGGAGCTACTCAGATGTCCAAGGAAGATGGCAAGTTCAAGGCCATCCTTGGCTACAGAGTGAGTTCAAAGTCAGACCCATTTTGAATTAAACTAAGTAAAAAGTAGCCTGGGCAATACAGCTTAAGACTGAACACTCAACTATAAGCAGGTAAGCAAGGCAGGTGCTAGAATTACATTCCATTTTGGGGAAAAATTAGGCAAAGGCAGAAATGCTTACAAAGAGGTGTCTTGACACATTCAAGTTGGAAAAAAAAAAGGGGGGGTTCAGTGGGCGTTAAGGCCCGTGGCCATACGAACTCCTTTATCCCCCACCACTGACCTCTGACCATCCACCAGGGCCCTCCCATGAGTAGGTGGGTTTTGGGCCACGCCTCGTGAAAAAAGAACGCCCCCTCACACACCCATAATGACCACGAGGGGGTGCCCGGCGACGGATCCCGATCTCCTCGGTTGAGATTCCCCACCATCTCCTTAAAGAGAGGTCACAGGGCTATGCCCATCCCCCCCTGCTGCACAAGGGTAACACAGACTTGAGGAAAGAGAGGCCGGGGGGAGTGATGTTCTCAGGCTCCACGCGGGTGCACGGAGCCCCGGCTGCATGGACGTACGAAGCCCAACCCGGGAGAGGGGGTGGCAACCCCTGGACCCCCTGGAGTGCAGCCAGGTCATCGGGCTGGGGGCGGGGCCTTTGTCTCGCACGTGGAGCCCGCGGGGCCCCTCAAGCGGCACACCCCCCTCCCCACACTACGCTACGGGACCACGTGCGGTCCGGCTGGAAGCGCCCCCGGCCCGCGACCACGTGCGACGGTCCTTGGCTCGGCTGCGGGTCCCAAAGCACCGAAAGCCGTAATCTCTCCGTCACGATCGAACACATCCCCCGATGCTGACCAACGCGAGGCCAGGCACATCGAAAGGCCCCGTCCCCACAGTTCAGGCAGTGGACCACCCGTCTCGCGCCGCCCCCGGGCCTAAAGAGCTCAGCTACTCACCTCCATGATGCAGTTCGCGGCCTCGGCTGCCGCCATCTTCACCCGAGTCCTATGGCCTCCGAGACCCCCCCTCTCTCTTTTCTCCCCCCCTCTCGGCCGGGGACCGCCTTTTACCAGAGGGTCCACAGGCCAGCCCCCGATACCCCGCCATAAGTTCTCATTGGTCTGTAATGCTGTCTATCTGAGACCTTCACATTTCAATTGGATGACAGACACGACTATCAAACATAAGGTGCCCGCCCCTCCTAGCGTTTAAAGGCCCGCCCCCTCCTGTCCGCTTTGAAGGGAACAACTGTCTGTCGGTCTCATCCAGCACGTGTGGCGATTGGGTAAAATCCACCAGGTCTTCCCGCCTCTTTCTGGCTAGCTCCGCCTTGGAGCTTCCCGGCGGGCTCCGCGCTAAGCGGACGTCTAGAAACTGAGCTGTCTATCACTAAGACAGTCCGCTCCTCCCTCGTTGCTATTGGCTGAGCCAAAGGTGACGTTCGAGGCTCATGCTCCACCCTGTTTAAACGACCGGCCTAGAAGAAGAGGGGCCATTGGCCCATAAGGAGGCACGCAGCGTTTCGGACAGCGGCAATTGGGTCTCAGGAATGTCAGTCGTCATCATTCCGTGTTTTTTTTTTTTTCCTCGCTGGGAGGTTTTCTGAGGAACTGGGGCGCGTGGGCGCATTAAGTTATAGGGAAACCCCGAATTCCTGAGAGGTGGATGGGGCCGCATTCTATCTAGTCTGTGGGTCCGAAACCAGCCGTGAGTCTCTGTGAGCCTCATTGCGATGATTCTCACCCCAGTGCTGGACGGTGCCAAGTTCTGAAGACCAGTGGCCTACTCGTGGCCTCCAGGTCCTCTGCGACAAACACCCATCGTCCTTTGTCTGACAAACTCTTACATGTCAATCACCGGCAATTTGGACGCCACCTCCTCCAGGAAATTTCCCTGCATCTTCAGAAGGTTGCCCCTTGCCTGAGGATGGATGTCAGTTGCTGGGTTCGTGCACCTTCCTTTTGCCTTCTGTCCCACCAGTCCATGGTCCAAATATAAGATCCTTTAAACTCCCGTATGAACCCCTCTAATCCGAGCCTCTGCATAAGGTATGCGTGCGTGCACATCTGACTTGTTTCCTTCCAACGCCTAACAGTTATTTTGTTTAGTGTGAGCGTACATTTGTGTGCCTTGCACGTATGGAAGGCACAAAGCAACTTACAGGAGTCCTTTCTTTCCACAAGATGAGTGTAGGTAATTGAACGCATGTTGTCAGGCTTAGCGGCAAGCACCTTTACCCTCTGCAGCATCAGGTGCAGACCAACATGTAAGATCTGGTATATCTTTTTTTTTTTTTTTTTTTTGGTTTTTGCTGGTATATCTTTTGTTTAACAGATTCTCAGTGTTCCTTGGGCCTGGAACTTGCCATGGAGATCAGCTTGCTTTTGTCTCCCAAGTGCTGAGATTTAAGGCGTATGAAAATCTCGCCCAGCCAATATGGTTTCCTTTTTTTCCCCCGTTTTTCCTAGACAGTGTTCCTCTGTGTATCCTTGGCTGTCCTTTTTACTCATAAAACTGCCTGTTTCTGCCTTCCCAAAAGCCATGCTTACCTGCCGGGCAGTGGTGGCGCACGCCTTTAATCCCAGCACTTGGGAGGCAGAGGCAGGTGGATTTCTGAGTTCGAGGCCAGCCTGGTCTACAGAGTGAGTTCCAGGGCAGCCAGGACTACACAGAGACCCTGTCTCGAAAAACCAAAAAAAAAAACCAAAAAAAAAAAAAAAAGCCATGCTTCCCACACCCATTTAAGTATATTTTTCTAAGATTTACTTTATTTGAGTACACTAGCTTCAGACACACCAGAAGAAAGCATTAGTTGTGGTTGCTGGGAATTGAACTCAGGACTTCTGAAAGAGCAGCCAGTGCTCTTAACCGCTGAGCCATCTCTCTAACCTTTTTGTTTAAAGACAGGGTTTCTCTGTGTAGCCTAGGCTGTCCTAGAACTCACTCTATAGACAAGGCTGGCCCTGAAGTCAAAGATCCTGCCTGCCTGTGCCTAGCTCAGATGATTTGATTGAGTCCAGCCTGCCCTGCTACTTTGCCCCTTATCTTAATAGCCCTAGGGCCTTTCTTGCCCTGTCTCTAAGATGCCCCAGGGCCCCCCTCCTGCCCTGGTACTTCCATCTGTCATTCCCTACAACTTACCAGCCCCTCTGCCGACGGCCTTATGAGGCCTTCCAGCACCTTTAGGATCTTGTCTTAATCCTTCAACCACCTTCATTCACTTCAGCTTTACTGATCCCATCCCAGCTTCCTGGGGCTGCTGCCAGTTTTACATGGTATCCCTCTTCTTTGGGGACTGAACTTGCTTTTCATTTAGGACAAGAGATTTCATCTATAGCCAGTCAATGAAATGCATTCTGACTTTGAGCCAGCCATTCTTGACATAGTTAAATAAACTTAGCACAGGGATTCCTGCAGCCCATTCAGTTTGCTACTAATGTAGATTCCTATGAGGAAACTGAGGCTCAGATGGGAAAAGGGGTTGATCAGGGCTACACACTTAGGACACTGCTGAGCTGTATCTCACCACAGAAAGGCAAACAAAACAACTTTATTTTTTAAAATTTATTTAATTTGGATTTTGTCTGTGTGCACAGTATGTGATTTGAGGTCAGAGGCTGAAGTCCAAATACCTTCCTAAACTTTTTTGTACTTTGAATTTGAGACTGTCTGCATAGACCAGACTGGTCTGGAACTCAGAAATCCACATACTTTTGCTTCTTCAAGTGCTAGGATTAAAGGCATGTACTACCTTGCCAGGCAACACCTTATTTTTTTAAGAAAAGGTCTCTCAGTGACATTGGAGCCTACTGGCTGAACCTCAAGCACCAGAGATGCTGCTTCTGCCTCCTGAGTGATAGGATGCAGGCATGTGCTCCATGCCCTGCTTTGAAGTGGGCTGGGAATTTAACTTACATCATTATGTTCAGGCAGCAAGCACTTTATACTGACTTCCCTAGCCCCACTTTTGGGCTTTTGAAGCCATGTCTTATGTAGCTCAAACTGGCCTTGTATGTAGCTAAGGATGACCTTGAACCGGATCCTCCCAAATGCTGGGATTACAGGTCTGCCACATCAAGCACTGCAGTGTAAAGGTGTAGCTAATACACACCTGTGAGCCCAGCCACAGAGAGTTAAGGCCTGTCACTCCCCTCCACTGACAGCTACATGCTCAGCAACCTCAGAACAGAGTTCTACGATAAGTTAGGGCTAAAGATGGAGCTTAGTGGTAGTGATTCTTTTTGTTTGTTTTTGTTTTGTCTTTTTAATTTTTTTTTTTTTTTTTGGTTTTTCGAGACAGGGTTTCTCTGTGTAGCCCTGGCTGTCCTGGAACTCACTCTGTAGACCAGGCTGGCTTCGAACTCAGAAATCCGCCTGCCTCTGCCTCCCAAGTGCTGGGGTTAAAGGTGTGTGGCACCACTGCCCGGCAAGAAGTGCCACTATTAATAACACCTCAGAAAGAAAAAAAATTGTGTAACTGGATATTGCCACAAGCCAGTTGTGTACCTGTTTGTTCCATACTGGAACATGAGAAGAGGAGGGGAAGGGCTTGAGAGTCAGGAAACTTACAAGGCCAAAGAAGATTCCCAAGCTGTTCACCAGGGCTACAAAAGCAGTTATGCGAGGGCTGAGGGCTCAAGGTCTTTGGTCTCCTGGGCACCTGCACTCATACCTGCCCCTACCCCGCACATACCTGCACATGTAACATTAAATCGAAATCATTTTGAAGAAATCAGTAAGCCAGGCTGGAAAGAATGCTCAGTGGTTAAGAGCACTGTCTGGTCTTCCAGAGGTCCTGAGTTCAATTCCCTGCAACCACATGGTGGATCACAACCATCTGTAATGGGATCTGATGCCCTCTTCTGCTGTGTCTGAAGACAGGGACAGTGTACTCATATACATAAAATAAATCTTTGTTTTAAAAAAAAATCAGTAAGCCAAAGCCGGAGAGGCTACTCAGCGGTTAACAGCACTTTTTCTTACAGAGAACCAAGTTCTGTTGCAGGGTGGATATGTGGCAGCTATCTGCCTACAATTTCAGTGCTGGAGGATATAATGCCTTCTTCTGGCATCTTCCTTACATGTGTGTGCTCTCTCTCTCTCTCTCTCTCTCTCTTTCCCTCTCTCTCTCTCTCTCTCTCTCTCTCTCTCTCTCTCTCACACACACACACACACACACACACACACACACACACACAAATGAAAAATAATTTTTTTTAAAATAAAAGGGCTTAGGGTTGGAGAGATGGCTTTTCTGGTGTCTCGAAGACAGGCACAGTGTACTCATAAATAAATCTTTACAAAAATAAAAGTGCTTGGACACACATACTGTACACGTGTAATATACATACATATATGCAGGGCACAAACATACATGTAAAGTTTAATATTTTTTGCTTTTGTTTTTTGAGATGGTCTCACTGTATAGCCTTTGCAGTCCTGGAATTCATATGTAGACCAAGCTTGCTCCAAATTCAGGGTTCCACTTGGTTCTGCCTCCTGAGTACTGGACAGGACTAAAGGAGCCGGCCTCCACACCTGGTACAAATCCCCACACTCAAGATCAAGAGTTGCTGGATAGCCAGGCTACACAGAGAGGCCCTGTCTCAAAAACAAAAGAGGTGGGCTGTGATAAAGGTTAGACCCCAACCTTGGCCTCTCACCTCCATGCATTTACTCCAGTGCACATGTACACACACACACGCACACACACGTACATACATACGTACGTGCGTACGTACGTAAACTCACATACTCAAACACTTTAGTGCTCTAGTTAAAGAACAAAACTTTTAATACAGAGACATTTCTAAACAGTGTTTCTGGCAAAAAACAAAAACAAAAAAAACGGCATCACCACCCTACAGCCCTTAAGTATGTGTGTTGTCACACTTCAGTCACCTGCAGCCGGGTCAGAGGAGACACTCAGTCCAAGGGCAAGTTCAGGTCCACAGGTGAGGTGGCCAGGATGCCTGCCTGTAGAGGACAGAGAGCCCTGAGCTGACAGAGACTTCACTGACACCATTGCAGTGATAAAAGATGGTGGAGACGGGAGGACAGGGACAGGAGGCTGAGACCAGAGCTACGGAGATACCCAGAGAGAGGGAAAGACTGATGGAGAAACAAAGACCCCTTGAGTGGGACACTGAAGTCATTCTGGGTCTGTTCTGTACTGGCCCCAGTCCCTGCTCTAAGGACTGTGCTTAGCTCCACGATGCCCTGCCCAATCTGCTTCCCAGGCTTTCCTGCCATCTATGTTAAGAGAAGCAGGATTGCTGGCTTCTTTGCTGAGCTCTACCTGTCCCTCTCCTTCCATTCTGCTCCAGTGAAATCTGAACTCGTCCACCACTCCTCACCTCTCCATTCCAAGGAATGCAGGAGGAGCCCAACAGATGCTCACAACAGCATCTTTGACCTGGTACCCACATTCATTCTTGGTAGAACCTGCACCCTCATCAACTAATGAAATCCAGAGTCCTTCCTGCTGGGACTGATACCCATCTCCAGGCCTTTCCTGGTCTATCTAGAAGGCTGGGGCTGTGCATAGACTACCACTATCTCAGAACCCCCGTCTCAGGGTGACCAAGGACCCTTCTGAGCCTAGCTGTGTCTCTAGAACACACTTTTTTTCTCTCCTTCTGAAGTGCTGGACTCTACCATTGAACTGTATCCTAACCTTTCATTTGTGTTTTAAGACAAGATCTCAGTAAGTTGCCTAGTCTGACCTTGAACCTCTGCAGCCAAGGATGGCTTTAAATGTAGGTGTTCTTGCCTCAGCCTCTCTGGTACTTGAGATGTCTGACTTGCACTACCAGATACCATCTTCTCTTCCCTCTCTTCCCCTATTACACCACCACCCTGGCTGGTCTGGAACTTCCGATGTACACTAGGCTGGCCTTGACCCCATAGAGATCTGCTGGCCTCTGACTCCTTGGATTAAAAGTAGGACATCATGCCAAACAGATTTATTTCTATTATATGTGTATAAAATAACAGTCAGTGGCCAGTGAAGACCTCAGTGAGCTGATACTCAACATAGGAAGCAGGGGTATGTAGGAAGAGCCATGGGGCAAAGACTGCTGGAGACTGAAGTCACTAGATAAGCACCCTGTGCGTCCTTGAAGAATCCCATTCCACTACACAGCCGCCCTAAAACCATGGGGAGGATGAGACGGGAAGCAGGTGAGCTATTCTTACAAATGTTGGTTCAGCCAGATGGGCACAGATCTTATAGCACAGTGTCTGGCATACAGCATGTGTTCAACAAGCACAAGATGGATGGAATGGAAGACTGCAGTAGTTAAACTGAGACCTGGCAGGGTGTGTGTGACTTACCCAGCCCCCATGGGCCTGGATCCAGGGCAAGAAGCTGTGTACATGCTCAACACTGAGGTTGGCCAGGGTACCCCCAAGCCCAGCCACACGCCGGCTCAGCTCCATGGCTAGTGCCAGGCGTGCCAGTGGATCTGGGGATGGTGGTGGGGGCCCCGGGCACGGCATCGAGGGGCTGGAGCAGTTTGGGGAGGAGCTTCCTTCCCGGCTAGAGAAGAGTTCCACAAGGCGCGCAAAAGAGCCTGCTGACAGGCGGGCCAGTTTACGATGCAGAGCCGGGTCAGATGCCAGCTGAGGGGCAGAGAGGCAGTGTAAGCTACCACCAAGCCTGTGTTACCAGCCTGGAGGGGCAGGGTTTTCCAGCACCAAGTCCCACCCACCCATGCTGCCTCTATGGCCTTCACCAGTAGTCTCTCAGGAAAGGGTCCTAGAATCAGAGCCAAGTCCAGTTCTGAGTTGTAAACAGTTGCTTCTCCTTTAGTCCTTAAATCCAAGCTGGGCATGGTGGCACCTGCTTTTAATCCTAGCACTAGGGAGGCAGAGGCAGACAGATCTCAATCCTCAGTAAGTTCAAGCCTGGTCTACAGAGTAAGTTCCATCATAGCCAGGGCTACAACAGAAACTCTGCCTCGAGTGGGGTAGGGGAAGAGTACATGAATCTGAGGTTTTTACCAGGTAATTATTGTTACAGTACTGTTCAGTTTTCAAAGCCAGAGTCCAGGAAACTCAGAGGCTGTACCCACTCCAGCAGGTATTTCCTCTGTAGTCTTAAGCTGTGTCCTTACTGTAGTCAATCAGGGTTCTTGGGTTTAACTATGCAGCCCTGGCTGGCCCTGACTTCAGAGATCTCTGCCTGCCTCTTGCCTCCCAGTTGCTGGGACTAAAGGTGTGTGCTCTCATATTCCATCCGGCTTTGTTGAAACGAGGTCTCCCAGTGTGGCCTTGGCTGTCCTGGAACTCTTCTGTGGCCCAGGATAACTCTGACCCGGTCCTCTGGCCTCATACCCCAGAGGGCTGGGAGGAAGACTAAGCATGGTCCGCTACAACCCAGTTCTAAACTCGTGCCATGGCTCTCACCTGGATGAATGCTCTCACCCGGCTCTTGGTTCTGGCCGATTCTTTTGTTTCCTGTTCTTTGTTTTTGAGTATTTAACTTGGGGGAGAGGGTGATGGAGACAAAGTTTAGGTAAGGACCTCAGCCTGATAGGCAACGGCTCTGTTACTGAGCCAATCCCTAATGCCTCTGGTGGCTTCTGTTGCCCAGGTCCCATTGCTTGTTGATGGTCCATGAAGGACACTGGTGTAAAGTCCTACTGCGGTGAGGCATCAAGGCTCCTGTAAAAATGCTCTGGTGTTTACTGGAGCACGGGACCGCACCCAGCATCACAAGACAATGCAGCTCCAGCATTTGCCCACTAGTCCACAACTGTTCTCTCAAGAGCATGGAGTAGAGGCTGGTCACCTTTTGATTGATGACTTCTGCCTCCTCCTCCAGCAAGGCTACCAGCCTCCTTAGCAGGGCTTCCTTCTCCGTGGGTGGGGGTCCCTGGAACTCTGGGGGAAGGGGGAGCAGAAGAGAATTGGACTGGGAAGGGCCCTGGCTTTGCTCCTACCATCACCCCTCACCAGGGCTCTTCTGCTGCTTACCTGAGCAAGGCGGAGATTTCAGTTGCTCCTGTACCAGCTGTTCCAGACGCTGGGCAACCAGGGCATAGAAGTCTGAAGTGGCTGGGCCTGGGAGGAAAGAATCAGTTAACACTTTGTGTTTACAAAACAGCATATTTATGGAGTCTCTCCTCCCAACCATCTTGCCAGACAGCAACATTTCACAAAATGGTAAACTGAGGCCATGCGACTTTGCTAAATAGAAGATGTTAACACCCTCAGCCTTTCTACTTTGTTGCACTCTCAAATTCAACTGAGAATAGTCAAGCTGAGCTCCGGAGATGATTCCATCCAGTAAGGGCAAACACATGGCATTCCTCATCCTTTGTCCAGTTCATGCTCAGCAACTGACCACAGGGCTCACTGTAAGTAAGCCATCTGATGAGGCATGCCTCTTTAGAGTTTTTTTTTGTTTGTTTTTGTTTTTGTTTTTTCAAGACAGGGTTTCTCTGTGTAGCCCTGGCTGTCCTGGAACTCACTCTGTAGACCAGGCTGGCCTCGAACTCAGAAATCCGCCTGGCTCTGCCTCCCAAGTGCTGGGACTAAATGGGTGTGCCACCACTGCCCAGCTAGAGTTATTTTTACATTTTATCTGTGTGTTCTGCCTGCCTGTGTGTCTGTGTACCCCTTGGGTGCCCAGTGTTTGTGAAAGCCAGAGAACAGCATCAGAAGTTGGATGATGTGACAGTTAAGAGAATTGGCTGTTCTTCCAGCAGGCCTGGGTTCAATTCCCACCATCCACATGATGGCTCCCAATTTTCTGTAACTCCAGATTCATAAGAGCCAATGCTCCTTAAAAAAAGAAAAAAGAGGGGCTGGAGAGATGGCTCAGTAGTTAGGAGCACAGACTGTTCTTCCAGAGGTCCTGAGTTCAATTTCCAGCAACCACATGGTGGCTGAGAACCATCTGTAATGGGATCTGATGCCCTCTTCTGGTGTGTCTGAAGATAGCTACAGTGTATTCATATACATAAAGTGAATAAATCTTTTTTTTTTTTTTTAAAGAAAAAAAGATTCATTTGGTGAGTATGGGTATTTTGCCTGCATGTATGTCCATGTATGTACCAAGTGCATGCCTGATGCCCTGGGATGCCACAAGCAGGCCTCCTTTCCCCGCTTCCTAATGTGTGCTTGTCGTGCTTCCTTTATGTGCTGTTGGGAACTGCATACAAGGCTTCATGCATGCTAGGCAGCCATTCAACTGACTCAACTTTTTGTAATCCAGGTTGGCCTTAAACTCACAGCAGGCCTGCATCAGCCTTTCCATCTTCGACTGCAACAATGTGCTACCACACTTTGGCCTATTGATCATCACTGATCAAATCCAAAGATCCCTTCTTCCAGTCTTTCTCTGTTACTTTAAAAAGGAGAAAGGATTTGCCTAGTCAGATTACTAACTGGCCAGGGAGTTTGGACTGACAACCACACTTCCCATCTCTTGTCTTGGGAACTGGAGCTACAAAGAAGGCTTCCCTAAGAGCCAGAGAAGCACCCACTTAAGGAAAGAGACACATTACCTAAGGAGGGTGCCAAAGCACCCAGTCAACCAAGAAACTGCTCTGCAGAAGTCATAGCTGGGGCTCTGTTTTACGGTGCATGCCTGTGATTCCAGTATAAGGCAGGAGGGCTCCAGTGAATGTGATTGTGTCTCAATATTCCCTTTAGTCCCTAAGCAGTGCACCCCAAAACCTGTCAAAGTGCTGGCCAGCCCTTCCTTCCAGCCCTAGCCTAGGAACCCAGCAGGAGCCATCAAAATGGCAATAACACAAAATCCTCACAGTCTCTAGCCTTGGTGAGACACCACTGCAGGAGCTGTCCACACTGGAAGCAGATCCTCTCCATCCTCCCCAAGCAGCCCCACAGAGATGGCACCTCAGCCAAAATGGCCTACAGCTAAGAAGAGCTTCTCATCCTAACCCACGGGCCCAATGAAGGGAAGAGGTGATGAAAGAAAGCCACCCGTCCCTGAGCTTCCCAAGGTCAGGACTTGAAGTCCCACCAGTCCTCAATCTAGAAGTCTCTGCTCTGAGAAGCTCCACCCTCTAAGAAGTCCTCTCTAAGCCCTTCCCTTTGTCCAATTCCCTGCTGTCTGATCCCAGGAGCAGAGGGCAGCCATCTACGGATCGTCCCTCCACCCTGGACCCTCCAATAAATCTCTTTCATGAAATTTTCTGGCTGGTGTAACTCTCTTGTCAGAAGAAGCCAAGAAGAAAGGAAGCAATGAAGTGAAAAGTGGAGTGGGTCTGAGGGTCCTGATCTGCTGGGGATACCCTCCCTTGGGAGCCGCGATGCCTCTGCTGAGAAGGCTTCCTCTCAGAGCTGGGTGGCTCCTGAGCCCCCATGTCTCAGGATGCCCTTCCACTGGGACACTGTCCCACCTCAGAGCTGTGTGGTTCTTGGGCCCCCAGTCTCAGGTATCCCTTGCACTGGGATACCTTCTCCCTTCAGAGCTGTATTGTTTCTGGGCTTTGGAGTCCCAGGACACCACCCATCCAAACAGAACCAGCCCCCTAGAAAGAAGTGTAACAAAGAACTGGACTGGTTATAGCTTGTGTTAAAGCTGAGCAGTGCTGACTTTATAGTGAGTACTGTCTGGACTTTTTGGAACCAAAGTTCCTACCCCTGAAAGTTTCACAAGTGACCTGAATAAATCTCTTACCAGGCTCTGAACCATAGCAGGGACGGAGGGGAAGGAAGCAGGGCCTAGAGGACTCCCTGGGAGGAGCTCCTCTCCCCAGGGGACAAGGGAGGCATCTTCGGAGGCGGCTCAGGAAATCTGTTGTGTCTTCTTGGACAGGGCTCCTAGGGACAAGAACCTCAGAGTTATCCCAAAAGGGTCTGAGCAAACAATCTCTTTGTCCGTTCATGGAAGATCACTCTTGAAACTCGGGACAGGCATATGGAGTTAGGTCTGAAGGGAGCAGACAGGTTAGGAACACAAGACTCAGGAAGATCTTCCCATCAAAGGTTGGCCCTGGGGGAGTGGAAGAGTAATTCACCTGGGTGGAGTTAGGACAGGGGACCCAGCAACTTCACCGCGCTTAAGGAAGGCAGTCAAAACCTTCAGTGTGTCCTCTCGAAGACCCAGCTCTTCAGAGCCGGCCATGGAAGTACCTAAGGCAGAAGACAGAGGATGCACCCAAGTACCGTGATAACTCAGACTTCCGAATCACTGAATGAAGGCGATGCTTTACTCCAAGGAAAAGGTGACTTAACTGGGACAGTCGATTCCGTTGAGGAGAAACGGTCTTTATTACTGAGTCTAAGAAAGGAGGTAACTGAGTGCTTGGACTCTTACACGCAGGAGCAGGAAGGAGGTTTGGAGTTCCCTCCCAGCTCTGGGTGCTGAAGGAGGCTCGAAGCCCATAGAGAATAGGGAACTACTAATCCTAGCACGCTTTGCGGCAAACGCTAGCCCGGTTTCCCCGCTTTTTCACCGATCAGCCTGCTGGGAGATGTAGTTCCAACTACCTCAGGCGGGCACCGGGAGATCCCGGGTGCTTGGAAGTCAGAGAGGCGGGACTGGCTGTGGACTCTCCTGCAACCCGGTTCCCTCCCTGGCACCCCGCTCACCTGGCTCGGGGTTCTGCCCCAGTCTCACTGGAGCACACGCTTTCACTCAACTTCTCCAAACTTTACCTCGGAAGTTTAACTTTCCCGCGCCTGCGCACTGGGCCGACACGGCAACCGCCCCAACGCCAAAGGGGTGGAGCGTTGTGTTGCTGTATTTGCATATGGCGTTCCCAGCATGCCCGTAGGCGGAAGGCCAAAAAAGGGCATTGAGCGAGTTGGGCCGGGTGAGCCCAAGTGCGCTCTTAGGTGTTTTGACTTTCTTACGTATATGATGAGAAACTTTTTTTTACCTCAAAATATCGTTAGAAAAGAAAGTCCCAGCGCTCGGAGGCTTAGCTGACAAAGAAGGGGGTTGCGTGGCTGCAAGTCTCAGAACTACTGTTTGGGAGGCCCAAAACCAGTGCTGGTACCCGCGCCCCACGAGCGCGCAATTCCTCCCCTGGTAGGTAATGCGGAAGAACCGGGAGGGTGGCGGCCTCAGGGCTCAGGATCGGGCAGCCCTGACGCTCAGGAGCTCGGCTACCGAAAACCAGAATGGCTACGTGTTGTAGACGGAAGCCTACAGTTTCTGCATCCAGGCTGGAGACAGTAAAGATTGCTGCAAGTTCAAGGCCAGTGAGTTCCAGGCCAGCATGGGTTAAACAAGTTGAAGACCAGCCTGAGCTACTGAATAAGTTTGAGGGTAGTTTGGGTTACAGAGTACATTCGAGCCCAGCCTGGGCCATACAGTGAGTTGAAGACCAGCCTTGGCTACATAAGTTTAAGGACAGCCTATGCTACATACTAAGACCCTGTCTCAAACATCCATAAAAACAATATAGAAAAAAAAAAAAAAAACAGAAGAAGCGACAGCGCCTGGGAGAAGACTCGAAATGAGTAAGGATATTCTGCACGGGGGTGGGAGTGAAAGCAATCATGATCCTTTAAAGACGAGAGAAAGAGGACTCCACCCTGGAAATGGGGTACCTGCTTTGGATAATAGAGAGGGGTTTACATTTAGAAAAGGGAAGGAACCTATGGGTAGAGTTTCTATAGAAAACTCTGGGATAGGAGAGGCGGTCCCATTGGAATTGGAAAGGTGGGAAGGAGTTTCTCGTTTGTACACAAGAAGACAAGGCTGAAGGAAGGCCTGTGCTGTGGCTGGTCGGAGAGGTTTGAGTGCATTTGCCCCTTGACATACAGGCTCAGGAACTGCCCTGTGTGCGCAGGCTGGAGCATGGGAACTCCGAAACCGCGGATCTTGCCCTGGCTGGTGTCGCAGCTGGACCTGGGGCAGCTGAAAGGCGTGGCCTGGCTGGACGAGAGCCGTACAAAGTTCAGGATCCCATGGAAACATGGCCTACGACAGGACGCACAGATGGCTGACTTTGGCATCTTCCAGGTGCTGGGGAAAGACTTCAGAGGAGTTTCTGGGTGTGGCTAGCCGGGGTCTGGGTCTTGCTAATTAGGTGGGATAGGACTGGAGGGACAGATGGGAATTGATTGGTAGATTCCAGAAACAGAATCCTGAAAGCTAGGTTGAGTCTCTTTAAAAACAACAACAACAACAAAACCAGTCTGTAGCAATGGTTCTCAACCTGTGGGCTGCGACCCCTTTGGGGGGTTGAACAGCCCTTTCATCAGAAAACAAATATTTACAACTTATGATAGCACTGAACCATGAGGAACTGTATTGGGATAGTTGAGAACAGCTGTTTTAGAGGATGGGAAATCTTTGGGGTGGGCTCTTGATTTTAGAACCCTTAAACCTAAGAGTTGAGACTGGCCAGGCAGTGGTGGCGCTCACCTTTAATCCCAGCACTTGGGAGGCAGAGGCAGGCGGATTTCTGAGTTCGAGGCCAGCCTGGTCTACAGAGTGAGTTCCAGTACAGCCAGGGCTACACAGAGAAACCCTGTCTCGAAAAAACAAACAAACAAAAAAAAAACAAAAACAAACAAACAAAACAAAAGGCATGAAGGTGGACATGGTGGCAAGAGTTTGTAATCCCAGCACTCTGGAGGTGGCAGCAGGAGGGTTGAAACTTAGAGTTCAAATTCGGTTATAATGTGTGAGATGCTGTCTCAAAATCAAAACGATTTTTTTTTTTTTTTTTTTTTTTTTAGTGATGAAAAATAGTGGATAGATAAGTATGAGGACAGAGGTCCTAGGGGCTTTGTGAATGTGAGAACTTGGGTCAGGAACCAAAAATGTATGGAGTATGGTGGAAGTGTCAGGACCCCAGGCCAGAGTCTAAGTCCTCTTCCCTACTGTCCTGGAATCACTGATGTATCAGGCCTGGGCAGAAGCCAGTGGTGCCTACACCCCAGGGAAGGATAAGCCAGACCTGTCAACCTGGAAGAGGAATTTCCGGTCAGCCCTGAACCGGAAAGAAGTGTTGCGCTTAGCTGATGACCGGAGCAAGGACCCTTCTGATCCTCATAAAGTGTATGAGTTTGTGACTCCAGGTGTGTGTGGCAAGGCTGGCTTGGGGTCACAGAAGCCTTGGGATCAGGAGGGTCTCTGCCACTTACTATGATCACTTCCACTCTGGACAGGAGCTAGGGACTTTGTACATCTGGACACCTCCCCTGACACCAATGGGAAAAGCAGTCTGTCTGACCCCCAGGTGAGAAGGCACTAATCCTGTGCCTCAGCCTTGTCCTGTCTGTTAGGCCTCCCTTCTCCCCCACCCCCAGCCCTTACCTCTGGACTTCCATTCCTTCACCAAAGTGGTACCCTCTTGACTCAGCTGAAGTGTTTACTAGCTCCTTCCTCCTCCAGGAAGACCTCTGGGAATTACTCAATGACATGGCCTTGGTACCCCACAGAGATGAAGGGTCCTCAGACCTGACTATTGCTTCTGATCATTCTCAACTACTGCTAAGCCCCAATGTGAACAACTTCCCAAACCCAGGACCCCAGGAAAATCCCCTGAGGCAGCTGCTAGCTGAGGAACGTGAGTGCCAGCTGTGTGGTGGGAAGGGCTGCATTTTTTTTGCAGCAGGGACAGCAGTCCTTACCCTGGTCCTCTTCATCTCTCCCCTTTAACCCAACCACTCAGAATGGGAGTTCGAGGTGACTGCCTTCTACCGAGGCCGCCAGGTCTTCCAGCAGACACTCTTTTGCCCAGGGGGCCTGCGTCTGGTGGGCAGCACAGCTGACAACATGACACTGCCCTGGCAGCCAGTCACCCTGCCAGACCCTGAGGGGTTTCTGACAGACAAGCTTGTAAGGGAGTATGTGAGGCATGTACTCAAGGGGCTGGGCAAGGGGCTGGCACTGTGGCGGGCAGGACAGTGCCTCTGGGCCCAGCGCCTAGGCCACTCGCATTCCTTCTGGGCTCTGGGTGAGGAGCTGCTTCCAGACAGTGGGAGAGGGCCTGTTGGAGAGGTCCCCAAGGACAAGGACGGAGGCGTGTTCGATCTTAGGCCCTTTGTGGCAGGTGAGTACTCCATGGGAATTGATAGGCCATGGCGGTTGATTGAATTCAGAGCCTGCTAAGCTTTGTGGCGAAGACAAGCTTGTACCACCAAGTCCAGGGCTGGCTGCTGTAACTGTTGAACCTAATGTAGTACAGGCACTCTGGGGTATATACATTTCATAGTGTATACAGATACGATGGTGAAGTTGGGGGCTTGGCTCCGTTGGTAGTGTCCCTGCAAATTACAAGAAGAGTAAGTCCCCTAAGGTCCTGTTGTCCAGGAGAGTTTTGTGGAGTAATGAGCCCATCTGCCTCCTTATTTCTACCAGCCAAATACATGAACTGTTCAGAATCCACAAGAGCCAACTAGAGACTTTTGAAGCTGTTTTGTGGAGGGTCCCACCCTGTAGCCCAGGCCTCCCCAGTGCTAGGATGCCATGTGTCGGCAAGGTACCCAGTTTGAAGTTGCATTTGTATTTGAAACTTCAGTTTTCTGAGACAGGGTCTCATTCTTATTGCTTCTGCTGGCCTTGAATTCTCATTGCTCCTACCCCATCCTCAAGGGCTGACATCAAGTGTCAATTAGAGACCCACAGTGGGGTCTGAGCAGCTGAGGAGCCATCCTAACAGCCTCCTGAGCCCAGCATCCTCCTCACTAGGGCCCACCATCATCCTCACTGCTGGACGTCTCACCTCCATAGTACTCCTGCGGAGGGGAGGAGACAAGGAGCACTTGTGTCTGCAGGGACTTTCCCAGATAGGCAGTGCACAGTGCTGGCAGAGCATCACCAGGGAAGATAGAGACTGAGCGGGTGGACAGGGTGGAGGCCATCCTTTCTTTTCTGACCTGACTCTTGGGTTCCCAGATCTGATTGCCTTCATGGAAGGAAGTGGACACTCCCCACGCTACACTCTGTGGTTCTGTGTGGGGGAATTGTGGCCCCAGGACCAGCCATGGGTCAAGAGGCTTGTGATGGTCAAGGTGCCAGCTGTCTTATGATACTGGGGATGGGAGGGTCCACTTTTGGGGGAACCTGTAGCAGCCCAGGACTAAAACTCTCAGAAGCCCCTCTGAGAAATAGCAACTCCCAACAGGCCTCTGCAGCCACTGTTCCCCATCCCCAAAGTCTCTGGATGTCCTTCAAGGCTTATCCACATATCCAGAGCTTATTCTGACTCTGGCTGGCACGTGCAAGTCTTTGCAGCCTTTTAAGTGTATGACTCCCAGGGGCTTCCATTGGTTGTGACCAATGGAAGGGGTGGGGCAGCCACAGTTCCTAGTAGCACTAGACTGAGTAAGGGTCCACCCTGGATTCTGTTGGGAGCCCATAGCTGACTGGAGATTTGTCCTGCCTCCTTCAGGTTGTTCCTACATGTCTTAAGGAGCTGTTAGAGATGGCCCGGGAAGGGGGAGCCTCCTCACTGAGAACCGTGGACTTGCACATCTCCAACAGCCAGCCCATCTCCCTTACTTCTGACCAATACAAGGCCTACCTCCAGGACTTGGTGGAGGACATGGACTTCCAGGCCACTGGAGATATCTGAGCTCTGCTCAGCTGCTACCAATAAACCAGTTTATGCCACTATCGCAAGTCTGCTGTTACACTGACCCTAGGCTGGTGGTTATTGTACAGGGAAATCAGACTTCCCATGTGCAGCTGAGGTTTAGGTGCTCGGTGAGTGAGGCACATAGACAAAATACAGCATGGCTGCCAGCTCTTGACCCCTCCCCGAGGTCCCAGAGAAAGTATCACAAAGGAAGCAAGAGACAAGACATGTTGGTCCAGGGCTACATATTGTCCCTGCACGGAGTAAGGGAAGCTGTCCCAGGCCGTGATCTACCTGAGTAGTAGTGGATGGCAACCAGCAAACGTGATAAGGGGCAGGCTGACTCACCACCATGGATTGCGTCACTGCAGCCTCAGAGTGCTGCTGACACCAGAGGCCACTCAGTGGTGGCAGCTGCAATGTACCCAGCCATTCAGGTGCTACTGGACCCTGCCTCCTGTTACTACCCACACACTCCTGAGTTTGGTGTGGTATCTTCATGGTCCCCCCTTCACCCTAACTCTTTCCTCCTGAAAAAGAAAAGAGCATTTCATGGTCCTTCTTTTCTGAGACAGGATCTCTGTAGCGCTAGCTGTGTTTTGTCTCACAGAGATCCATCTACTTCAAGGGTGCACCACAACGCCTGTCTGTATTTCATGAAATCTTTAATGAAATTGGAGGGGGCATGACAGAAGGGCTGGGACTGTGGGGGGCAGGCTGAAGGACTAGGTCAACGGGCAGGGACAGGGCTGGGGGGCTCTCCTCTTCCTCACAGCAGCCTTCCCCATCATCCCACTGTGGGGGGGCGTCATGGAGAAGTGGAGCCATAAATATGTCCAGAATCTCAGAGGCACAGGGACAGGGTAAGGAGTCTCAGAGAGGGGGCAGGGGCAGGCCTGGGCCACCCTTATCTGGGGGCCCCGGCTCCTTGGGTGGCCGAGGGGGTCCTGGGGGGTCCCCCGGCTTGCGACCATGCTTGCGGAAGTAGCGGTAGCGCTGGACGTAGGCCCTCACCAGGTTGCTCACCTTGACAGGGTTGATCTCTCCGCTTTTGCTGTGGCAGATCTGCAGAACCAGGAACAACTGAGGTCCTGCCAGCCCCAGGGTACCCTCGCCCTTGAGTCAGTGATTGGGCCTACCCTATGCCCCTCTCCTGGACCCAGGTCCCCAATCCCACAGTCCCCTGGCCCCACCTTGTGGACAGCCTTCCTCAGGATGTCCTTATACTCCTCCTTGGTGATGTCTTTCTTCTGGTAGTATGGCTTGATGGCCAACTTCACCTCCTCCACTGCCCGCTCCTGGGTGTGAAGCTTCTTCAGGTACTGGTGGGTATGAGACAAGGACGGTCAGGGCCAGACAGGCAGGGAGGGTCTGTAACTTCCTCACCCTCGGCTGCCCTATCCTATCCTTTCTGCAGTTACCCCAGGATAGTAGACACCTCTAGGCTAGACCCTGTGGCACCCTGGCCTAGCCAGGCCCAGCAGTTTGCTGGAAGACAAACCAGTCAAACACGACACTGTTCCTTTTATGCAGTGCTGAGATTGGAACTGGAGGGCTTGCTTATTTTTGTGCAGTGTCTCTAATAAGTTGTCCATTCTTGCCCTCAACTTTTAAATCTCCTGCCTCAGGCTTAAGTAGTAGGATCAGAGGTGTGTGCCCCACCCCCACTCCAACAGCTGGCTCACACCTATTCCTAAGTGGACCATACAGGGTCATTCTGACTACAGACCTTCTCAAGTGGCAGGGATACCAGCTTGGCTGTTCATACTCTGTTCTGGTTCAGAGTATGTTCATGTCACCTGAGCTCTGGCAGAAGCAAAGGAGGGCTGAGCGGTTGAGCCCAGGAGGCTCAGGCTGCTAAGGTGGACAGCATCACAGGGGGATCCTGCCTTCTTCCCTTGGGGAACTAGATCCCGTACTTCATGAAAAATGGGACAGCATCATCAAGGGAGCTGTCCTGGGAGGCTGAGGCTCCTGGGAGAGCCCAGTGTCCATGACCACAGGGAGAGCTAGTGCTGCTTTCCTGAAGCATGTGCATGGAGGCCAGAGACGGGCGGCAGAGCCTGGGCCTGGGCCGCAGCAAGTGACTGTAGTGCAATGGACCTGGGGAGGCCGGGCTACAGTAGGAGTACTCTGCTGATAGGGACCCATGTCTTACCTAGCTCTATGAGCCATGAGATTCTCAAGCAGCACAGAAGAGGGGCTGCCTGCCATCCCATAAAACACTTGCTAAGAAAAGACAAACAGCCCTAGAGGCCTGGCTAGCAGCACGGGAATGTGAACCAGCCAGGGGCTCTGTGAGCTAAGGCCATCTGTTTCCTGTTCAAGCCTACTCTGAGGCAGAGCAGTGGGTAGTGCCTTCAAACAGTGCTGTCTGGGCCATGACCAGGCACATCCATCTCGACAGGACTTACAGGAAGCAGCTCCAGTTCATTCTTTGTGCCTGCAGGGTCCTCACTCCAGCTGGGGGTGGCCTTGTCACCACCTCCCTAGACTTCACATGCTAAGGTTACAGGCCTGAGTCTGGACAGCCAACTTGGCCGGCTCTAAGAGCTTGACTTTTCTGACAAACTTACGCCTCCTGGTTACATAAAGGTGGGGGCAGCTGAGGTAATTAAGGGGGAGTTTTATACATACATGTATACATACACAAACTCTACGTGTTTTAAATCCCTTTACACACTGGTTCTTTTTATCTGGAACTGAGGATGGAGTCCAGGGCTGCATGCATACTGGGCACTTAGTAACTAAGCTGCACCTCTACTCTGGCTTTCTGTGGTTGGCACCTGCCCAGCACCAGCACTCAGTCCCATTCTTCTAGTCCTTTACTCTCCAAGTCCCTCTCACCTTGTCAGTGTCCCCACGTCCCTCTGAGCTGCTGCTGCCCTCTCTCTTGTCAGATGCAGGGGCTAGCCCAGTGGGGGTAGGAGGGGTAGAGCCACAGCCCCCTATGGGGAGGCTGCCAGGAAGCAGGTAGCTGGAGGGGCCTGGGGGCAGACCCAAGGAAGTGGGCACGGGAGCTGGGGTCACCCCCAGAGTGGAGGGTGGCTTCCGGTGGCTGAGGATCTGTGAGAAGAGAGTATGATGAGCCAAGGGAGGTGGAAGGGAAGAGGGGCTTTGTTCCCCCTCTGTTCCCTCAAATTTCCCAATGGTGTAGAACAACAGGCTCCTCTTCTGGCCAATACCTTGCCCTAAGGCCTGCTGGGAGTTGTAGTTCCTCTCCTACCCCGAGGCAATGGACAAAAGAAGGGGCTGCGGGGACTCTTCCCCATGGGAGCCCACCTGGTTGGTGGCCTGGATCAGCTCCTGGGCCTTTGCGCGGCTGGCCAGGTTGGCTTCTTCCATCTTGAACAACAGTGCAGTCACTGCAATGGACAGGAGGAGGAGAATCAAGGCAGGTATCAAGATGGATAGCAGCCAGGTTCCTCACTTGACCTCAGGACATGCTATAAAATCTCAGCTCAGAAAAGAGGGAACTCATCCACTGAGCATCAGCACACAGCCCTCAAGGGGGCTGTGTGTAGTAGGGACAAGGAGTACTAGGCTACAGCATGGAGACGGCTGAAGTGACATCTGCTTACTGACCCACCCCAAGTCCCAGCCTTCCCCTCTCATAGGAAACAGCACTGCTTAGTTAGGCTCTCTATTCTCCTCCTCTTGTGCCTAGTTCCACATAAACCAATCTCCTCTGTTCCGATAGTTCCCTGGATGCCAGAGCTTGGACTAGACCCTGCCTGTTCCGTCCATCCAACCCTATCTACCCATCCCTCTCCCCACTTCCAAAGACTCACAGGCCAGGACACCACTGGTAGTACAGTCTACACCAGCAGGCAGGTTCCAGGGCATGGGTGGGGGCAGCGTTGGCAGCTGGGAGACCCTAGCAGCTGGCCCATCCTCCGCGCCGGAGTCTCCAGCTGTAGACCCTGCACTGGGGGCAGTGCTTGGGGCAGCTGCAGCGGTGCTGGTGGCTGTGGTAGTGGCAGGCTGCTGCTCTTCCTCCTCTTCCTCTTCTTCTTCCTCTTCCTCCTCCTCCTCTGCCCCTACTCGGACCCCAGTGTCCTCACTGGCTTCCTCTGGTAGGAAGGAGACTTCAGGGGTCTTGCAGCTGCTATCCACAGTCTGGGAGTCGGGGGTGAGTGCAGGTGGAGGTGGGGCTACCTTAGGTGGTGGGGTACTGGGGGCCTTGGTGGTCCGTTCCTCCCCAGACCATGATGTTTCCTCTGTCCCCTTGGTGCTGGCTGCCTGGCTGCAGCTGTCGGCCTTGGATTTCTTCAGCGAACCAGGCCCACCACTGGCCGTGCTGCTGCTGCCTCCACTGCGAGCCTTCTTCCTGGTCTTCGACGGCTTCGTCTTTCCCTTGGTCCCCTTGGCTTTCTTGGCCCCAGCCTTGGCCTTTGCCTTGGTCTTTTTGGGCTTGGTGCTACCCGGGGCCACCTTGGCCACCTCTGCAGGAGCCCGCTCATCCGGCTTGAGGAACGGTGAGCGGCTCTCACGGTCACGGCTGAACTTGACCCCAATGGAGCCCAGGCCTGAAGATGAGGAATCCTTGGCAGGGGTGGTGCTGCTGACACCCTCTCGGATGAGTACAGCCACCTTGGACTGCAGTTTTACCTTTCGAGAGGAGGAGGAGGACGAGGAAGATGAGGAGCCACTGCTTGGGGGTGCTTTGGGCAGCGGCCCTGAGCTAGGCGTCGAGTCCTTAGGTGGCCGTGTCTTCTTGGATGACCTGTCCCTGTCTCGACCCCGGTCCCCATCGAGGGCCTTCCGTCGAGACCCTTTCTCCCTTGAGGACGAGGATGAGGACGCAGCTCCTGACCGCCTCCGGTCCTTGTCACTCTTGCCACCCCGCTCGTCCGCACTCAGACCCTCAGAGTCATACAGGACCTCCCGCTTCGGGGACACGGCAGGTGCTGGCGAAGGTGCGCGTGGCTCCGCCTTGTCCGGGCGACCCACTGTGATGGTCCGTTTGATGGCGAACAGGTCGTGGTCCGTGAGGTCCTGGATAGAGGGTGGCACGGCCCCGCGGCGTCGGCTGTCAC